CGTAAATAAAGTAGACATTAGCCTTTTCTCTTTCGTATATTTCTTCAAAGAAGCTGCTTTTTCGCCTTTAACGAATGGAAGTTCCGACAAACATTTTCTGTCATTGGATTTTTTAAAACGAAATCCAATTTTACAAATCCTTGCATGGATTTTACGCTACATGAACATTATAGTCCTCTTCAGGAAACTGCCGATACAATGTTTTAACTTTAACGATTCTTTTCAGCAAGCATCTGGTGAATACTCGGGTAAATAATATCAGGCACAGGATATTAATAAAAATTGTATTTACAATCATGTAATAGTTATTAACTGTTAAAAGTAAGAAAACTTTTGCCAAGAACAAAAAAAAAATAAGAATATGGTGGAAGGTACGAATTTTCATCCTCAATTTCAAATAATTTCCACTGTGACATTTCTAAATTTCTATTAGTATTATTTTGATAAATAAAAATCATTTTCAGTATAAAATCGGAATTCCTATTTTATATTTTATGAAACTATTGTGAATAAAAAAGGATACGAACTTAGAATGGTACTCATTTCCTACCAGCCGCAGGCGAATGCTGTAAATCATGCGACTAGGAAATGATCATTCCTTGAGAGTTGAACACTATACTTTTTCTATGGCTATAACTCGGTGCAACTTATTTTTAATCGAACTAAAAATACATTTTAAAAATATCATATTTTAGGTTTTCTTTGTACGTGATGACATTCTATGAATTTTAGAAGCAAAAGTAAATGCTATAGAATTGTCTAAAGAAGAATATAAATATACCACCTGGAATTTTATAAAAAGTGAATCTATAGCGAGATACATAGTATGTCTATATTAAAAAAAAACATCAGATTTAAGCAGTTCATTCTCTTCAACAGACTAGATGAACTTGGAAATCTAACCATCAGTTCAAGTGTAAACCAAGAAGAAAAGTTGAAAGAAATCACAGATGATGCTCTCGAGTATAACAGCAGAATATCTTGCTAAAAAACAAGAGTTGTTTCTTATAAAATCTGCATGCCTAACTTGGAAATCAAGCATAAAATTTGTAAAATTCAAACTAATTTCAATACACTAACATTGGTTGTTGTTTTATTTAAAACAACAAAGAAAGGCACAAATTATTTTAAAATAAGTGCAACGATTTAAACTTGAGCATATTTTTTAATTGCTATATAATTTCTTTTAATAATAGTTAAACAAGTAGGTCAATCTGTTTTTTATTCAGTTTGTTGAGGAAAAGTAAAATCTTTTTAATAAAAGTATAATTTATCCTCTTCTAATAAATTGTCATACATTATAACATAAATAAATATCTACACAAAAAAAAGTTAAGACTTGATTTAAAAAAGATGATATATCTTTGCGTCTAAAGGTAAGAAATCAGGGAACTCAACTATCCTCTAGTAATCTAGTATAATAAATGTACCTAGTCTTTGTTGTATTCATCTATTATCATTCACCGATCTAGCTTTAGCATCGTACAATTGCCATCTTGATAAAAATCTAGTGAACCTTATATAAATATACTTTTGTACAATCGTTCACCGTTTAAGCTTCTATTGCACCTTTGCAATATTGGTACCTTATTATACTATTTAGCTAATTTTGTCCAATTGTTAATGCTTTATAGGTAATAGTAATTGCGTTTGTGATATACCTACCTCTATTTTCTCTATTTTCATGTCTCGATTGATATTTTTATATAACCTCAATTTCAGCCTCTGTATTACATTACACAAAGAACAATATAGTGTGTCCACGGATGGACTTAATTATACTTTAAAAATATTTTAAATTAAAAAAAAGTTATTTTTCATAATTTCTCAATGTAAATCGAATTTATTTAACAAGCAAAAGAAATTATAAAATATTAATTTTTTAATTTAAAATAAATATTTTCACAAGTATAGTTAAGTCCATCCGCGGACACAGTGGATAATGCTGTAGAACTAATTCATATTATAACATCTATAGAGCGTTTCAGAGCAACTTTCGTTGGTAAGTACCATAAAAGTATTAATGTGATGTTTTCCAAACTTCACTTTGTGCTATAAAAGTCTTGCCGTTGCGGACGTTCAGCGGTTGCAGGGATATTAGGGTTACATTAAAAGCACATTGTTTGCGAGCTTAAAGAGCCTAAAATTGCAGCTTATTAACGTAGATGGGATGTTTTTGTGCTAGCTGGGTCTATTCTAAATAATTAGGCATTCCAACGACCTGTCAAAATGCTACCCGTGTGTAATGACAGGTTATGATATCGCAACCCTGTGGGCCTGTTGTATTTGATGGGGTTAATGAAACCTTTTATATAGATATAGATTGCTCAACACGGGTCGTTCTGCGAGCGGCCATATTTCCTCGCAAGTGCTCATTAATCAGATCGGTTTAGCAAAAATGTGTTATAAAACCAATTGTCTGCATTTGAATAGAGTAAAAAAATTATCTATATTTTTACTTCAAGGCATAAGCACTTTATTCTGAAAACATAGATGATCAGTCTATATCAATCACCCCTGTCAAATCACCAGGCCATATTGTTGCCATATCATAACCTGTCATTACCTACGGGGCATTGATATGGCAACACTGTGAGCCTGGTGGATTTGACAGGGTCGATGGTATAGATAGTTATATAGATTGATCATACACGTTTTTCAAAATAAAGGTTATATCTTAAAGTAAAAATGTAGATAATTATTTTTTTACTACATATATTCAAAGGCTAATAAGTTATAAAAGTAACTAAGAAAAAACGACTCCAAAATCGTGCAGACGCCATTACAAATTGAGTTTGCTGATTTTCTCATGGATTTCTAACAAACAAAATCATAGAAATCGGATAAGGAGGTAAAGAATTATCGCTGAACATACTTAAAAAAATTAAATAATTTGATGATTTTGTTATGGACCCAATTATTAGATCCTGATAAAGAATTATCGCTGAACAAACATAAAAAAATTCTGACTAATTGAGAATCTCCTCCTTTTTTGAAGTCGGTTAAAAATTGGTTTTAAAACACATTTTTGCTAAACAGTTTCTGATTAATGAGCAGTTGCGAGGCAATATGGCCGCTCGCATAGCGACCCACTTTGAGCAATCTATATAACTATACATATCATTGTCCCTGTCAAAGCCAACACGCACACAGGGTTGCCATATCAATGCCCACAGGAAGCATTCTGACACGTCGTTGGAATGCCTAAGTATTTAATGTTTTGACATTTTATGGCAGATATTATTTTAATAAAATCATTAGTGAATTATTATTTTGTGTTATTTGATAAGGATGAGAAACGGAAATGATTACTTTGTGCTATCAGAGGTAAATAAAAAAATGTAGCTCACTTCTTAATTTGTTTGTATTATATCCGAAGAAAAAGTTTTATTTTAATTTGGAGATAAACAGTAATTGTTTTATTTTGTGTAGATATTTCCATAAAAGTTTCTTTGAACATAATCTGGAAACATCAAGCAATATATGGACTTGGTCTTCATAATATGAAAGGAAAGGACACTAAAAATCTAAATCTTTCGCCATTTTAAATGGTGAAATTTCATGAAACACCAAACTTATTTTTTTGAAGTGTGTAGATGAATATAATTTTTAAGCTTTGTGCTATTGAATGTTGAATATAGTTGCAAAAATACAACATTGGACAGAAATAAAGTCATTTCAAGTTAGAATTTTAACACATAGGCATTTCAACGACTTGTAAAAATGCTGCCTGTGCGCATTGATATGGAAACTATATGGAAAACCTCGTGGGCCAGTTGGTTTTGACAGGATTAATGATATACATAGTTATATAGATACAGTCTTGGAATATATTTAAAAAAAATAATTACCTGCATTTCGCCAAACAATAACAGACCATAAATATGCCCAAAGTTTTAAAATAATAAAGACTTTTTCCAATATCCTTGATATGACAGTCCAGTCTAAATTGGGCATCATTTGTTTATAGTATTGGATGGACGTAGGATGGCATACAATGGAGAATGAGTAGAGGTTGTTTATAAATTGAACAATAAAGGACATCGAGCGCATTTTGGAGGAACATTGAAAGTAATAACAGATAATAAATAACGTGCTAGATGAGACCTGATTATTCATTAAAATAAACAGAAATTTCAACATTGTCCACGTCTAATGATCAAAGAAGGAATTTCAAATACTTGTCTTAATGTTTAGGTTCTTATTTAATTATAGTCAGGCCAACGATGATATTTTTTAATACATTTAAAAAAAGTATGTAGATCATTAATAAATATTAAAAATACCAAAGGTACAAGGTTAGATCTTTGCGGGATTCCATGATGCGTTTTAGATGAAATATTTCCATTGAATTTTACAACAAAGTGTCTATTTCTTAATTAACTTTTGAGTAACACTAATAATTGTCCAGTGCTTTCAAACTAACAGAAGTCTTATATAAAGAAGAATAATTGGTGAAAAGACTCAATCAACAAGATTTTAAGATTTTCGAGATCCCAATAATCGAACCATTTTTTAAATTATAAATTTAAAAATGAAAGTAGTAATTTCCACTGAACAATATCTTATGTTCAAGTACATAGTAGTAACAAAAATTAATTTAAGAAAATATACTTATTGCAAATAAGAAGGAATGTAAAAAAAAAGTTATACATAGAACTGACTTTGGGCATATTATAAAAAAAGATCGTAAAAATGTTTTAAACATGTTAATACAGATATAAAAGTAGTAGGTACATTATTTTTTTAATCTATTAAAGAAAGAACTTAGTTTTATCGAAATAAAAAAATTCCTTAAATCTACCCTAATTTCTTCAGAATAAAACCAATAAAATTCATAAAGAAGAAGACGCCTAAAGCGAATGAATGCCATACAAAAGAAGGCTGGAATTTAATAAAAGCAGCGGAAAAATTCAAACCAACTATTACGCCCTTCAATTACCGCATTAGTCATCCCCACTATAAAAAAACGACCCAATAGAAAAATAAAAAAATCGTACCTTTTTTGAAAAAACACTGTTACGGTAGGAGGACACTTTTGCAGTACACGATTTTTTAAGTATTTTTTACCGTACAATCTACATTTTCGGACATTTTTGTCAAATCGAACTCGTACTGAAACTGAAGTGTTTTCAGGATGACTCTGACGTCTGAAAACCCTGAAGAAGGACGTGCCAACGCGCAGATACGAAGTAAAGCACGTGACCGAATCGATAGCGGTCTTCGTAGGAGAAGTTATATTATTAGGAACAACGAGGAATCGATAGAAGTGTATGTTTTCAATTTTGTAAAATGCAGGATGTAAATAAAACATATGAGACGTACTTGCTCCTGTTCTTCCTGCGCTCATTTGTTTTAGGCAGATAGCAGGAGGACGAGCCTCTTTAATATTCGAAACAAAGTTCGCACACACAAGGTGAACACGGACGTATTATATACGGTGCCGAGGTTATTTCGGAGGGGGAAGATAAATGTTTTCGGCCCTCGAGACTTGGCCGTGTCTACAAAGAATCTTGATTTGGAAAAATTGGATTCCGCTACAAAACAGTTTCCCGTTTATCCATTTCAAAAGAATAGATCGTTTTGGATCGAATGGGAGTACAACCAAAATAATCATTTCTTTCCATTTATCTGAAAAGAATATTAGGAACGGAGCCTCAGTATTAGTTTAGAGAAAACATACACTGAGAAAATAGCCTCAGCTACAGTTAAAAAATCACCTGTAATATTTACATTTTTTTAGTTGGTACAGTAAACCGTATAACAATTTCAGATACCTAATTGGAAAGTTCTGAAAAGCACGAGCTCTCCTAATTTGAATGTTTAACTGATCCAGGTTAATTGAATTTGTTCATTGCATTTTAGATTTACAATACATCTATTATAGTAACAATTGAACTGTACTACGTGTAACTAACTTTTTAAAAAAGTTTAACCACAGCTTATATTGTATAAAATACGTTTATAAATATACCGTAAAGGTTGCCTGAGAAAATACAGTTACGATCATTTTTTACTTTCCTTTCTGTATACAGATAAGGAAAGTATAGAAATCGTGATAAAAGTTGCTTGTGATGCCATTCTTTATAATTTTGGTCCTATGCATGATTTCCCTAAAATGGACCGTATTCGAAATATTTGAGGAAAAGTGCAAATTTCGAATTTTGAAGATAACTCAGAAACGGATAAAGAGAAACACACCAAATGTTAAACTTAAGCTTTAATCTATCATGTGGTGAGCTGATTAAATTTTGGGCATAGTCGAATCATCTGGGGAATACATTTACAGGGTGTCGTTCATTTTACTTTAAGAAAATAAATAGTCTTAATTGTATTTTCTTAGGCAACTCATTTGCGATATATTTGTAAACATATTTTATTTAATAAACTAAAAAACTTTCATCCGTTTAAGTCGTTACACAGATGGGCGAAGGTCGATCTTAGAATCTTAGACTATAACAAATAACCCTAACCAGTTATTTTTGACTATGTTCTAAACCAGGCCTGCACAACTCAAATTTTCAAAGGGCCAGTTTGAGAAACCGTAAGTGTACGAGGGCCAAGAAAGACCAGGGCCGCCGAGAGCCAGGTCGAGCCCCGGGTCAATTTTCTAGGTCGGGCCCCGCGACAATTTTATAAAAAAAATTAAGCTCTTTCAATATCATATTTCAAAAAAAAAGGCCCTCTATCTGCTGCTATTGTGACCTAAAGCTGCCGGGACCCCCTTTTGCCGCTGCTGGGCCCCAACTTGAGCCCGGGCCCCAGGAATTTGTCCCGGCTACCCCTCTTTCGTCGGCCTTGAGAGAGACCTGAGCAAAAAAGGTCCTCACGTTATAATTCTACCGAGCTTTTCTAAAAAAAAAAGGTAAAAAAGGTCGTCAGCCTAAATGTAAGTTTGTTACTGAAAAATGTATAGTTTGACGTAGGCGGGCCAAACTGCTCAAAGGCCAACGGGCCGCCAAAACGACAATGGCGGGCCGTATGCGGCCCGCGGGCCGTATGTTGTGCAGGCCTGTTCTAAACAATCTGGTTCAAACGTTCTGTAAACAAACGCATTCGTGAATATTTGCATTATTACGTAGACACGATTCGACCTAGTTGAAAAAAGAGACGTCTAGCATCAACATCGACATCAACACCATACAGTATCTCTGTGTTTTGTGTAATAGAATTATCGTACGTAGATCAGCTATTTTTTCAAATATACCTATGCAATTTGGTAGTGTATTACCACGGGGTACGAAATAATGGTACAGAATTGGAGGTTGACGAATAATAAGTGGAATTATTTGAAGGTTTGTACATGTTTATTTGATTTGATTAAATGATAATTAAAAAACTACAAATTTATAATTTGTCTTTAAGAAGGAGAAACCGTCAAGTGATTTTACACTACTAAAAAGCATTGTAGCGTGATCTGCGGGAAATACGAGTGTTTAGTGCGCGTCACAGGTTGAGTAAAGTCATAGCATTAGATGAGAACAAATGAACCACAGTCAACTGTCATTCATGTCCATTTGAATAACATAGTGGTCATTAAAATTATTTAAGCATAATTTTGGAAATAAAAGCAAATTAATTATTTAACATAAGCATACGGTAAGGTAATAACGTTTATATGTTTGTCTATCGATTTCATAGTTTTTTTTCAGGATAATATTGATTTGTCTTCGATTTGAAGAATTTTAACCCAGCCTACTCAAACCCTGATTTTTGAAGTGGATATAATTTAATTAATTGACACAAGCATAACGTTAAATCCTTTTTGAGATTGTTTTAAGTGGGCGTAGAAAAAGTATAGTACGATACACGAGTTGTAAGCCCATTACGGGTTACTTACAACTCTAGTTAGGCAATATACTATTATTTGCTCTTCATGTATTTTTTAACAATGAGACTATTTTTTGAATATTTTAATGATTTTGATAAAAGTTACAACATTTTGCAAGGAACTACCACAAATTCCTTAATTAATTATTTTGTAATCAAGAGTACCTAATTAATTTCGACAGCATTACATTTTCAAAAAATTCAAATAAATCGGTAATTATCAAAGATAGGAATAGGAAATCTTTATTAAATTAAGATTATTTTTAAATTAAATTAAAGAAAAAATATAGATTGTCTCATTTAAAAAATATAACTTTAAATTGGTTACGATCCTGTTTAATATTTAAATTTTTTCCTTTAATTCATTTTAATCTTTTAAGTATTTTAAAGGTATTTAGAGTGTATCCAAATAGGTTATTCGCGTAAAATTTGCCTTTTTTTAAATATTATACATTTGATGGACCTATTCCTCAACCTTATATCACCTATGGCTTCACTTTACATTTTTTGTCCCTTTTACCCAAAAACCGTACCAAATGCGAGTTTCGATAAGAAGGACAGACGAGTACGACAACGAACACTAAAACGACGAGAACGGGTACTTACTACTTAGGCATCAAACACAGTCTGTTTTACGAGTGCAGAAAATCCTTTCCAAAGTGATCCCAGACTATACCTTGGTAAGTCAAATATCAAATAAATAATTTAATCGATACGATACATTTATATTGAATTTTTAACAACTAATTAAGCGCCACGTAAATTAGCTTCTCCACCATTAAATCACAGTCCATTTTAAATTTATCAACGCACCACCAGAGATTAGGGACAAACGCACCACTGTATACGAGCATATAAAACTAATTTTAATTTATAGCCGCCGTTGAGTTGTATATTTGTGCCAAAGGAATGTTTAATATCGTTTGTAGTTTACCCACCAGGCTCCGTACCGTTGAGAGTGTCGCATCTTGTATATATTTTTTTGTGTCTTATTTATTGTTCCTCATTTATTTTATTTTTTACGCTTTGGACTTGCCTTATACCTAAAAATATCAATAAAGTACTAATAACATAAATAAAAGTTCAGTTTCCAACATGTTACGCCTCTGGTCAAGTAGCATTGGTGTCAAAATCAGGGGCTGGCACATACTTTGATTTTCGGGGCTGGTAACTCAAATGGAAAAACATGAGGACGGTAATTTAGTACAACTCCAATTAACGGGATGGCGCTCGTATCGAAATGTCATGTTAGTTGTCAGCTTGTCAACAAAGCTTCAAACTTGGAAAAATTAAAATGGCTGTTGCATTTGAAGGTGTATTGGATTTTGATTAATCTAGATTTATTTTTCAACACCTTCCAATTTTAAGCATGTTTTCATGAGATGGGAACATGGATTTTAGCAACGAACAATAAAGCACTCCCAGATATTGGTAGTGATGCAATTTATACCACGTATTAAATATGAGGTCGTCATATTAAGGATAACCAAACAATTTGTAATAAGTGTCTTAAGAAAAATGCATCTTGTACTGACATCAATGGTAAGTAAGTACTATTTACAAACTTGTTTTTGATTCAGTGTTAAAATAATTGGTTTGTTATTTAAATTTCTTTTTGTTTTCAGTTTTTAAATGATCATTGTTGTAAAGAAAAACTGATTCAATGCCATTAACATCAAACAAGAAAACGCCCTAAAATCTTCAAGGGTCCAAACGTGTGTAAGTTTAATTTATGCTCAAAAGTTAAATTCATTTATCACAGTGCCCACATGATGAATACAAATTTGATAACTACAAGTGCTGTATAAATGAACCAAGAAAACAATTATCGGATGAAGAAATGCTCCTCAACCTAACTAGTCGACTCGATAACCATATGGCAAATTTTATCCACACTCAAATTTGCCTCGATAGTAAAAAAGGATGATGCTTCAACTTTTTTCAAACTGATTTGCCACTCCAAGTCGCAAAACTTTTATAAATGTCTTGAGCACTTATATATGCTGATTTTGTTACAGAAAACATTTTTGATAGGTTTGTGTTATAAATATTTAATTATTTAAATGGTGTAAATGCATATTTGTTTAGAGTATTTCCATGTTTAAATAGACAAATTATATAATGCGGCGTTAATTTACTGTAAAAAAATAAAATGCATTTTATTTCAAGTTTGAAATTAATGCAAAAATATAATTAAGTAAAATCAAATAAAGATATAAATTGGCAAAATATTTAACTAGTTTCAAATCACAAAACAGTCAATATGGTTGTTTTATGATTTGAAACTAGTCAAATATTTTTCCAA